GGCATTCTCTAGTTGTGGAGAGCGGGGGTTTCTTTTTGTTGTGGTGCGTGAGCTTCTAGGTGTGGTGGCTTTTCTTGTTGCAGAGCACAGGGCCTAGAAGCGTGGGCTTCAGTAGTTGTGGCTCGCAGGCTCTAGAGCGCAGGTTCAGCATGTGTGGCGCATGGGCTTAGTTGCTCTGCGACATGTGGGATCTTCCCGGACCAGGGCTCAAACCCGTGTCCCCTGCAATGGCAGGCAGATTCTTAACCACTGCGCCACCAGGGAGGTCCCGTGGCTCCTGATTTTAAACAAATAAATTGTAAACAAACATTCATAACATTTATAACATAATTGGATATACCAATAAAAACAGACAATTCAAATTTGAACACTGATAAAATATTTGATGACAAGAAAATCTTACTAAATTTTTCAGCTCTGATAATAGTATTATCATTATATTTTATAAAGAAAAAAGAGTATCTTTTAGAGACACATTAAAATATTTACAGGGCTTCCCTGGTGGCGCAGTGGTTAAGAATCCGCCTGCCAATGCAGGGGACACGGGTTCGAGCCCTGGCCCGGGAAGATCCCACATGCTGCGGAGCAACTAAGCCCGTGCACCACAACTACTGAGCCTGAGCCTGTGCTGTAGAGCCCGTGAGCCACAACTACAGAGCCCATGTGCCACAACTACTGAAGCCTGCATGCCTAGAGCCTGTGCTCCGAAACAAGAGAAGCCACCGAGATGAGAAGCCTGCACACTGCAAGGAAGAGTAGCTCCTGCTCGCCGCAACTAGAGAAAAAAGCCTGCACGCAGCAACGAAGACCCAACGCAGAAAAAAAAAAAAAAAAAAATTTACGAATGAATTAATATGATCTTCAACTTGCTTTTTCTCACATAATTTCTTTTTAATTCATCTGTATTTGTTACAACTTTTAAAGGAGGATGTGACTTGAGCACTACATTTCCATTCACAAAACTTTCAGTTACTTTTCAAACAGCTTTACAACATGCCTACATAGGCTTATGATCTTGCTACTCTAAACAATACTTTTCTTTGGAAAACAAGCCCTATGTATGGATAGTGACTCCCATCAAGTTGGTTGAGTTTAACATACTAATTTCTAGAGGCCTGGCACATGCAGTTGATAACTACAGGGGATGGAAGTTTTAAAAAGTAGATCCCAGAAGATGAAAAGTTGCTTTAACTAATATTTTTCTTTTAAACATCAAGGTATATGCTTCAGAACATTTCAGTGACAAAAGATTTGGTCTACTAAAGAATCCGCTTGATAGCTATAGACACTTCAGACCACGAAGTTAACGTAGGTCACATACCCCTTACAACAAATGCAACTTCCAGCTGTTAGAATAAAATTCCATCTGTTAAAATGCCAACATGAAACTAGAAAAGAACTAGCTGTGCTCTAATGCCTAAAGTATCACAGTATCACACTTAGTAGAAAGAAATCTTATCTTCCCCTTAAGTAGTTGTCAAGCCATACAGATTTTTAAATGTAACAAAAAAAATACTTGAAAACATATTATCAGAGGGAATGAAGACAGTGTTGAACACGTAGCCAATTTGCATCACAATAGGACAGCGAGGAAGTTGAATATGCATGTAGGTGAAACAAGATCATAAATTGGTCATAAATTGATAATTGTTGAATCTCATTATATTGATATTACTTACTATTTTCAGTACTTTATTTTTGCCTTTTTAGAAACAGCGTTAGGGCTTCCCTGGTGGCGCAGTAGTTGGGAATCCGCCTGCCAATGCAAGGGACACGGGTTCGAGCCCTGATCCGGGAAGATCCCACATGCCGCGGAGCAACTAAGCCCATGCGCCACAACTACTGAGCCTGCGCTTTAGAGCCCGTGAGCCACTACTGAGCCCATGTGCCACAACTACGGAAGCCCGCACGCCTAGAGCCCGTGCTCCGCAACAAGAGAAGCCACCGCAATGAGAAGCCCATGCACCGCAATGAAGAGTAACCCCCACTCGCCACAACCAGAGAAAAGCCCACGTGCAGCAATGAAGACCCAACGCAGCCAAAAATAAAATATAAAATAAAATAAATTTATAAAAATAAATAAATTAATTAAAACAGCTTTATGAGGAATAACTTACATGTCAATAAAATTTGCCGTTTGTAAGTGTACAATTTAATATTTTGTAAATTTATAGAGTTGTGCAATCTTCACTACAGTCCAGTTTTCGAATATCTCCATCACCCCAAAAGATTTCCTTGGACCCTACCCTGCAGTCAGTTCCCACTCCCACCCCAGCCCTCCACTGCTCTGCTTTCTGTATCTCTAAATATGCCCTTTCTGGACATTTCACTTAAATACATTCATGCAAGAGATAGCCTTCTGCTGCTCCCTTTACTGTTATACAAGTTGGATATGCTGACCTGCCCACCACCGTTGCTCCCCCAACCCATCACTTAGTGCCCTGTCCCTCCGACTCAGGCCTCTCTGCATTGAGGCAAGGATCTGAGCTGCCAGCCGTGGCTGGCTCTGCATCCTCACCCAACTCAACTGTGGACACAGAACCAATCGCAGGGCTTTATATCGCATTTAGAGAAACAGACAAAATCTCTCTCTCCTCTGTCTCCTTCAGCCTGAGGTGGGGATGCTAGGCACATCAGAAGTGTGGGAGCTAAGGAGACGGAGGCCGGCTTATTTTCTTGAAGACACCGAGGCAGAAACAAGATGCTCTGTGTCTATATGTGCACGTGTGTTCCTCACCTGTGGCGAGAACCAGAGGACGGCATGACCGAGGGTAGGGAGAGTGAAGGAAGTTGCCCCTCAAGTCCTCTGGCACCTGAGGGCAGCCTCCTAAGTATGCACCTGTGGCTGTGTGTGTGAAGGTACTGAGAGCACTAGTGCACAGCTGTGCACACACGTTTGCCCCATGGTTCATGTATCTTCAGAGCTGGGCCCATCAGAGGACAGAGATAGCCTAAGATGTCTTTGCCTTCTCTTTGTGTCTTTGCATTTAAAAAAAATGGTTATTGTGTCTGCTCTGTCACCCCATGCTTTGGTATTTTGTAGTTAATCAGGAAGAATTCAGAAGAAACCTCCGATGATGCGCTTCTCTGGGGAATGGGATTGGGGTCTCAGGTCTCCCTTTCCACTGTGTACTCTCATTCCACTTGAAGTTTTTGTCCTATATTTGTGTAATTTTCAAAATAAAATGAGGGAGAAATCATTGTTATTACCAGTGAGCCATGGTGTGTTTGCCTGGCTCCCTGCAGGCTCTGCTTCTATTAGCTTAGTCTAGGGCTGAGCAGATTACAAAGTGCTATCAAATGCAGCTAGCTGCTCATTTAATCCACTCATTCATTCAACAAATATTTGATAAATGTTTCTTATGTGCCAGGCACAGTTTTAGAATCTAGGGATAGAAAAACAGAGAAAAATGCCTGCCCTTCTGGGGACTTACATTCTACTGAGTGTGGAAAGACATATAACAAAATTAATCAGTTATATGGTAATGAGAGGAGAAAAGACAAGGCACAGGAGGGTGATAGGGCTGGGAGGCTGCCATATTGAAGAGGGTGGTCAGGGAAGGTGACCCGAACAGACTTGGAGGAGGTAAGGGAGTGACCAGGGAGCTCTCTGGGAGAAAAGGGCTCCAGAGAACAGCAAATGCAAAGGATCGGAGGCAAGAGCATGTCCAGCTTGCTTGAGGAAGAGCCAGAAAGGCAACGTGGCTGCAGAACAGCCAGTGAGAGTAATGGAGCTGGGATGAGAGAGGTAAGAGGGTCACCAGATCCTGTGGGGCTGGTGGGCCACTGCAGGAGTTTTGGGTTTTACCCCAAGTGAGGTGGGAGCCATTGGAGGGTTTGGCTGAGGAGGATATGACCTAACGAATATGTTCACAGGGTTCCCCCACTGGAGACCAGACTGTGTAGCAGGGAAGTGAGGTGACCCTGATGATGCTGTTGAGAGAGGTGGTGGAGGTGTAAACACGCAGGACCTTATGAGGTCTTCCCGGGACAGACCCCTCTCCCATATCCTCTGCTTTAGCTGCTCTCTGAAGTACCTAGGTAACGGTATCTGCACATTTTCTGAGTTGCTTGGCAGGTGCTCAAACCACCACCAAATGGAAGAAATTAACTACCTGATGACCATGAGCTCGTAGCGCCCAGACCTAAGGCAATCTGAGGATTAATAATGTTCACCCCTGTGACACGGCCCCTTACCTCACCATCAACCAATCAGAGAATTGTGCTCGAGTTAATCTCCTACCCTGGGACTCCCCTGCCTCGCCTGGCCTTTAAAAATGCTTTCCTGGGCTTCCCTGGTGGCGCAGTGGTTGGGGGTCCGCCTGCCAATGCAGGGGACGCGGGTTCGTGCCCCGGTCTGGGAAGATCCCACATGCCGCGGAGCGGCTGGGACCGTGAGCCATGGCCGCTGAGCCTGCGCGTCCGGAGCCTGTGCTCCGCAATGGGAGAGGCCACAACAGTGAGAGGCCCGCGTACAGAAAAAAAAAAAAATGCTTTCCTGAACCCCAAAGGGGAGTTTGGGTGTTTTGAGCAGTCCTGTCCTGAACTTGCTTGGAGCCCTGCAGTAATCGCTGCCCTTTCCTTCACCACAACCAGGTGTCTGCAGAGAGGCTTTACGGGGGCGGGGGGCGACCCAAGGTTGGTTCCCCAACAGGTGGGCGTCACAGTCTGTATTTATTTGGAAAGGAGAAGCCACCCGTAGGGGTTTCCGATAGATTGGAGGTAGGGTTTGATGGAAAGAGAAGAGTCAAAACTGATTCCAAGCTTTGGAAGCTGAGGAGCTGGGAGGATGAAGTTGCCTTTGGCAGAGACGCGGTGGCCTGGGGGCGGCGGGGAGCAGAGTGTATAAGATCGGGAGGACCCCGCCTTCTGCCTGGACCAGTTAAAGAAGTCCGGGAGGCGGTGGATTCCCACACGTGGGTACGGTTGACGTCTCCATTTCACAAGTGCGGACACTCCTGCACCGGAGCCCCGCGGGCTGACCGGATCACTTACCGTAGGCGGGCGCCCCCTGGCGCGGGGAGGGAAGCCCCTCCTTGTACGTCGGCGGGAGCATCCCCGGCGGACGCGAGGACCGGGAGCTGTAGGGGCGGATCGTGTCGCGGCTGCGGCGCTTTGGGGCGGAGCTCACCGAGCACGTGGCGGCCGCCGATCAGGGCGCGGGCGGTAAGGCCGCCGGGGCGCGGGCGGCCGGGAGGGCGAGGGCAGGTCCGGCTCCTCGGCCCAGGCCCGCTCTCTTGCGGGGAAGCTCCCGGCAGGGCCCTCCCCTGCCCGATAAGGAAAGGCTGCCCGCGTGCGTCCGACCTGTGAGCCCACTCTCCGCATTCAGTTACTATCTTGACTTTTGGGTCTTTGGAAAACTTTGTCGGGCTCTTTCCGGAGGCGTTTGTAGAGAGGAGCAGAACGGGAGTGGGCCGGGCTGCTTCAGCGAGATGCCTCACCCGCTGGCATCTTCTCTCCCACCTAGCACTAAAGCTTTCCCTCCTGCCACCCCTCTTTGGGCCGAGGTATTAGCCCTCCCTCAGACCCGACAGACCCCAGCTCCCGCGACCACCGTCTCTCTCAGGTCCTCTGATCAGACTGTTACCAGTACGTGCTGCTCCTGCGGCGTGATTGGCCCGAAATCTGGCTGACTTTCTACTTTGGAAATGGTGCCAGAACTCGTGTACTTCTCAGAAAACCATAAGTGTTTTCCCCTTTCCCCACCAGGGGCAGATCCAGGATCTGAGGGACCCAATGCAATTCTGGGCAACCTCTTTAAAGAGACGAAATCACAAATCACAATTGCTGGGGCTTTTGGAAGGGCCTGTGCAAGCCAGGGACCCTGAAGCTTAAGTCTTACTGGTTTCGGGGTCTGTGCCCCCCTGCCTGGTGGCTCTCCAACTTTACTGTGCTCAACAATCATCTGCGGGAGCATGCTGAAAATGCAGGTTCTGGGATAAAGACTTAGAGTCTATTTTTAAGAAGTTCTCCAGTTATTCTGCTCTGATTTGAGGGGCTGTGAACCTCGTGCTCCTAGTGGATTTTAATCAAGCTGGAAAGCTGGGCTCCTTGCCCTGTGACCCCAGCGCCTCTCCTGCCTTCCTTGCCAACACCCCTACTGGTTACACTCTGCATTCCAGCACTGGTTCTCAAACTTACCTGGCTATGAGAATCACCTGGAGATCGGCCTGGGCTCATCGACACCTGGGTCTTTGTAGTTTGGTCAAGTTCTCGGGTGGTTCTCATACCCACCACCGTTTGAAAGCCTATGAAGCCCTAGTTTCCCTGCATGGGGCCAGCCTCTTGCTACTGCCTGCCTTTCCCCGACCTGGGATGCGATTCCTCCTTCTCTCCACCCCAATCACGGACCCACGATGAATTAGTCCTTCCTTCCCTTCATCTCATCTGTATCACTCCTCTGGCCCTAATCACACATCCCCCTGCACAGGAGTAAATTTTTCTTTCAGGCTGTTTCATTTCCTCACTCATTTTCATGGAATCTTAGTGTTGGGTGGGCCCTTGGAGGTCATCTCTTCTGTCTCCCCGCTTCCATGAGCAGGGTGGACCTGGGCGGGGGGGTCGACAGCAGAGGAGAGGAACTGAGGACCAGGGCGGGCCCTTGACCAGCTTTCCCTCAACCACAGGGGAAGAGGCTGCTGGGGGCGACAGGCTCATCCGTGAGCAGGACCTGGCCTGGCTGCAGCAGGCAGAGGGTGAGTGGCGCTCCCCCATGCCTGCAAACTCCCCTGGGGTCTTAGATCCCCTGGACACGCCTGGCCTCCCCACCTAGAAGGGACTTTCTAGAGCTCCCTCCCCACTACAGCCAGACTCTGTCATGTCTCCCTTACAAACCCAAGTGAGCCTTGGTCCCTCTTTCTTCCCAGCGGTTGTGTAGAAGTGGACCAGCCCGCTCTGGGTATAGGCCACAAGCTGGACCGGGCCATGGCCCGCAATAAACCAGTCCTGTGCCTGTTCCGCCCGCAGTCTGACCGAAGTGAGCACCCCCAGCCCTGGATGGCCGCCCCTGCCTCCCTCCCCAGCTCTCTGAGGACCCCACCCTCCACTCCTTCCTTGTGGGGGGGTCTGAGCACAGCGCCCACCCAAAAAGGGACAGGAAAGGGAGGGGAGGGGGGAGTGTGGGAGGCAGCCACCTTCACCTCCCTCCTCCTTCCCAGTGCTCTCAGCCACGATCCGGGGAGCAGCCGAAGGCTCGCAGGTCCAGGTGTGGGGCTACGAGGCGGCAGAGGCGGCAGCCACGCTGGATGCGTACTTTGCGGCGGATCCTCCTGAGCGGTGGCTGCTCCCCTGACCCAACCACTTGACTTCACCCCAGCTTATTAAATTCTCCTGACCCCAGACTTGCTCTAGTACCATTCCTACCCCTTAGCCCCAGTACCAGATTCATGGCATGTTTACAATTCTAACTTTCCGTCTGTGTGAGAGTGGGGTGGGGGCAGGTCCCCCATAATATCCTCTTAACACCCCACTTCACTTCAAGATGTAGAGACCCTTTAAAGATCCACAGGCCCCCCCTAACGCCCTCAAGCTCCCCCCAGGAACACTCAGGAGTGTGGAGGAAGCTGATCGATCGTGGGAGTGGCCATTCCTCTCTGTCTCTGATGCAGGGCTGGGTCTGGGGCAAGTGGGCCAGCCTGTACCTGGCCCTGTTATCACATGGACCTTTATTTCCCTTTATCGGTGTAAGTCACACAGGTCCGCCGTGGGCTTTCTCTGAGGATGGAAGTCTGGACGCCTAAAGAAAACAGTAGAGGAGGAGGAGGGCTGGGTGTGTGCGATGGAGGGGAAGCTGAAGCGGCCCACTGAGGAAGCTGTCCGGTCTGCTTCCAGAGAAGTATATGAAAAAAAGAAGTTTATTCAGTGAACAGAAGACAGTGCCACAGACACTGGTAACCGCCTACCCTCACGACAGGGGGAAGGGTGCACTCCTGAGCCCGTGGCCCCAGGACTCTGGTGGCTCCAGTGCTCCCTGCATCCTACCCCTCAATCGTAGCCCTCGTCGTCTTCCTCCTCGTCGCCAAAGAAGAAAGTCTCTCGGTCCAGGTTCTCAGACTCCTCGTCATAGGAGAAGCTGTCATTGTCCAGCTCCTCTTCAAACTCATCCTGCTGCCACTCAGGCACATCATCCTCGTCGTCGTCGTCGTCCTCCTCCTCCTCCACCTGCAGCCCCGAGGAGCCCTGGGGCCTGGGAGAGCGCCACGCTCAGCCCCAGAGGAAGCCTAGCGCCTCCCATGCCCCCTCCGTGGCTCTGCCCCCTCCACTCACTGACTGCCAGGCACGTTGGATCCTTTCGCCTCCCGGGCCTCTGATGATGGGCTCTGGAGACCAACCCGGAAATCCTGGAAAGGAGACGGGAGGATGCGGGGAGCAGGAGAGTAGAGGACACAGGGCCTCTGTGCCCAGCCTCACTTCACCCAGCGTCCTCTGAGGGCCGAGGGCGGCCCGGCCCCTGCCAGGAATGCCCCCCGCTCAGCACCGCCCTCCACAAGCCACTGCCTCTGTGTAACGTGACTCAGAGGTGGTCTCCAGGGACCCAGGATACTGCGGTGAGGCACCACCCCCACTTCCCATGTATGTTCACACCTTTTCTGCCCAAGTTACTACCAGTCCGTAAGCTCCCTGAGGGTGGGATTCCTAGTTTAGACTCGACATCAGAGTATTAGAGCCAGAAAGAACCTCAGATCCCCTATTCTGGTGGATGCCAGTCCTTTGCCCCCAGTCCTAGGATTCTAAATCCACATCTGCGAAGAATCTTTTGAAGAATCTCCCCAGGTGATTCTGGGGAGCAAGCAACTGGCCAAATACCCTTGATCTGGGATAACCAACTCCATTTTCCAGGAAATGCCAGGTGGCTAAGGGGCAGGCCTGGGAGCTGGGATGCACGCCAGGTCCATTTGCCCTTGACGCCTTTCCTTCAGGATCCCCCAGGGCGGCCGGGCCGGGTGGGCGGCTACCTGGGTGGAATGCTGCAGGATGGCCAGCAGCCGCTCCTGGATCCGCCGCAGCAGCTCCAGGCCCGTGCTGAGGTGCTCCGCCCGCAGGAGGCGCAGCGAGGAGCCCAGGTCTCTGCAGCGCAGCAGGGTCTCTTCTGCAGAGGGGGCAGGGCACGGGGGCTCCCTCTCTTCTTCCCGTCCTTCCACAGATGCATACTGGACGCCCACTATGTGCCACCCACATCTACCGGGGCCTAGCGCCTAGAGGTGGGGACAGGTCGTAACCAAAGCAAAGGTTGGGTGAAGGGCTGTGTACTGTGTACCTGAGGACTGGAACTTTGTAACGGTGATAAGGCTATGAAGGACAGGAAGGGGACAGAGTGAAGGTGGGCAGCTGGCTCTGGTCACCCACCCGTTTGTGTGTCGGGGGTGGGTGCTGGGGGAGAGGGGGCAGGAGAGAGCACTGAGTGGGCAGGGCGCTCACCCAGGAGGATCTGCAGGGCGTTGGTGTGCAGCTCCAGGGCCTCGGTCTGCTGCTCCACCACGTCCACGTGCTCCGTGTCCTGGCTGTAGAAGCTGTACACGCAGGCGTAGGCCAGCACCTGCGGAGCCCAGGCGCCGACCCCGCTAAGGCCGCCTCACACCAGCTTCTTCCTCCCTCCCTCCCTCCCCCCCCAGCC